ATCTGTGTTTTTGGAAAAATGTTAACATTCAGGTTTTCCAAGAATTACTAGACACTGGCTCTCAAAAAAAAATTACCCAGACCAAAATATAGAAAGAAAAAGACTTGGAAAAAAATGAACAGAGCCTGGAATCACATGTATTAAGGATAAGAAGTTTAGCATAAGTATAATCTCAGAAGAGCAGAGAGAAATTGGGCAGAAAAAAAATACTTTAAGCAATATTTGGCCGAAAGTTTTCTAAATTTGACAAAAGAGAAAACAGCAACAAACCACCAGCAATCCACAGGAACAGGGATAAGTGAACCCAAGCAGGATAAATACAAAGAAAACCACACCTAGTAACATAGTGTAAATGATGATAAACAAAGATTAAAAAACCAAAATCTTAAACGCAGCCAGAAAAAAAAGACATTCAGGAAAACAATGATAAGAATTACAGCTGGTTTCTTATCAGAAACAATGAGGCCAGAAAACAACAGAATGACATGTTAACGTGCTAAAAGAAACCCTTTAATGGCTTCTCATTGTCTACAGGGTAAAGTTTAAGGTCCTTAACTTCAACAACCCAATATTGCTTACATTTCCAGTCATCTTCTGCTCCAGCAATATTCTACTATGGTGTAATAGAATTTTTATGCAGACTCCTCCATGTAAGAATCCCTTCTTTTGCCTACTTAATGGCCTGACTAGCCTGACCACGCAACTCCCCTTCCACAGTGGCTTAATGTTCCCCTGTACATAGTATTGCTGTACTTACTATATTTATAATAAGTATCTGTTTAAATTTCATTCTCTGACACTGGATTGAACTCCTTTAAGTTTAAGACTGATCGTTAGATCTCCAGCACTTATTATAGTGCCTATTACAGAGTGGATTCTTAAAACATTTTTGTTGAATTAATTCCCATAAAAGCATAGCAATACTCAATCCAGAAATTTAGTTCCCAGGGTCCACTAATTTCTATACCTCACAGTTGAGCCTGTGATTAGTTACTTCTTGATTAGTAGATAGGGTTCTTTTTGGTCCTAAAGAGCCCTGCCTGATGATGCTAAAACAGATCATGCTCTCGAATCAGTTCTAACCATGAACTATCAGTAGTTTCCTGGGAAAGGCCTTGAGACATGGAGGCTCATTTTTTCCCTTCCTTGTCTTCCTATATGCTTCCTTTGGAATTAATGCCAGTTTTTATCCCAGACAGATTAGCTACCCATCTAAAGCTCCATTTCCAGTCCTTAGGTCTTTTAAGTTCTGACCTAAATTTTGTCATTTTATTCTGCCTAGACCAGGGGTGGGCAAACTTTTTGACTCGAGGGCCACAATGGGTTCTTAAACTGGACTGGAGGGCCAGAACAAAAGCATGGATGGAGTGTTTGTGTGAACTAATATAAATTCAAAGTAAACATCATTACATAAAAGGGTATGGTCTTTTTTTTTTTTTTTTTAGTTTTATTCATTTCAAATGGGCCGGATCCGGCCCGCGGGCCGTAGTTTGCCCACGGCTGGCCTAGACCCTGGTCCACTCAGCACTAATTAGCAAGGGTGGTTACTGTTTTTCGTTTGAGTTCTGCTAAAAGAAGTAACATGCATGCTTATGTTTGGAAGTTGGGAAGACATCGTGTGAAAGGAAGCCTCTGGAATAACTCCTACCCCATAAGAACATGGACTCCATTCCTGTTAACTACATCATACTACAATTTGATATATTACTTTATGCCTATCTACCATTCCTCTTTCATTGCTCTTTCCTTACTTTTAATTTCTCTTTTTCATTTAAAAATATTTTTATTGATTTCAGAGAGGAAGGGAACGGGAGAGAGAGACAGAAACATCAATGATGATGAGAGAATCGTTGATTGGCTGCCTCCTGCACGCCCCACACTGGGGATGGAGCCCACAACCCAAGCATGTTCCCTGCCTGAGAATCGAACAGTGACCTCCTGGTTCATAGGTTAGTGCTCAACCACTGAGCCATGCTGGCTGGGCTTAGGTATAACTTTTTATTTTAACAAGTCTTAAATAAATTAACTATTTGGTCTTTCAGACTTTTTGTTGTTAACCCTCACCGGAGGATATTTTTCCATTGATTTATTAGAGTGAGTGGAAGGGAGGGCAGAGACAGAGAGAGAAACATCAATGTGAGAAAGACACATCGACCGGTTGCATACTGCACGAAACCCAGACTGATGCTGATGTGCTGGGGATCAATCATGCAACCCAGGTACCTGCCTTCGACAGCATTGGAATCTTGAGACCATTCAGTCTACAGGCTGATGGTTCCACCACTGAGCCAACCCACCAGGGGCTCTTTTAGACTCCTTATTTTTTTTAAATATATTTTATTGATTTTTTACCGAGA